GGGGGGGAGGCATTCTCTGGTCGTTGGAGCTCGCTCAGCTGGAGGGCAATGTAGGTGAGAAGTGCCTGGGATTGTTGCCCCCCTGAGAGTAGCCCTCAACTGCCCTCCTGACTCATGGAAGTTTGTTTACAAACATTCTAGTTCTGTCCTCAGTGGGTGGCTCTGAGCCACTTGTTCTGTGCTGGCTCCAGGCACTGCCCAGCAGATCAAGTTCCAGCTGTCCCCTGCGCTCCCTGCGGGAACCACCTTGAGAATATCCCCTTTATCAGCTTCTCTTCCCTTCTCATCTCTCTCTCCCATCCCCTCCTGGTGTTTCCTGGGGTTACCTCCCAAATCAACTACTTGCTTTAAATAACGTATCTTTAGGGGCGCCTGGGTGGCGCAGTCGGTTAAGCGTCCGACTTCAGCCAGGTCACGATCTCGCGGTCCGTGAGTTCGAGCCCCGCGTTGGGCTCTGGGCTGATAGCTCAGAGCCTGGAGCCTGTTTCCGATTCTGTGTCTCCCTCTCTCTCTGCCCCTCCCCCGTTCATGCTATGTCTCTCTCTGTCCCAAAAATAAATAAAAACGTTGAAAAAAAAAATTAAAAAAAAAATAAATAACGTATCTTTAGAGGCCCCTGTGTAGCTCAGTTGACTGAGCCTCGAGCCTCTGACTTCGGCTCAGATCATCATCTCACGTTTGTGACTTCGAGCCCCAAGTCAGACTCTCTGCTGTCAGTGCAGAGCCTGTTTCAGGACTTCTGTCCCCCTCTCTGTCTGCCATGCAAAGATAGATAAATAAATAAATAAATAAATAAATAAATAAACTCTCTCTCTCTCCTAAATAAATGTTTAAAAATTATAAATAATATATCTTTACATGATGACACATTTGTTTATCTTTTATCTTGTTAAGCAGTGAACAATAACAAAAAGAAATATGTAGTTATATTAAAACGTAGGTATGGTATTGCAGGCCAACCTAAACGCAATATTGTACTTACAAGTTTCTTTTGTTCTAACAAGAAAAAGGAGAGGAAAGAAAGAAGAAAGAAATGAAGGGAGAGAGGAAGGGAGAGAGGAAGGGAGGAAGGAAAGAAGGAAGGAAGGAACAAAAGGAGGGACAGAGGGAAGGAAAAGAAGAAGGGCAAGAAAACCCTAGGAATGGCGGGGTACCGTGCTGTTCTGTTGATCTTTTGGTAACGGCTTGGCGCTATGATAGTTCGCTGTGGTTCCCCTTACCTTTTACAACGAATGGCAGCGGACAAAAGGGAAGCCCACATATCCTTCACACTCTGCAGCTGCTGGTGAATAGCAGGCCAGCCTTCCGGAGAGGTATTCTGCAGGACAGATTCCCCTCTGGTCACTATCATTTTCATCTGGATCTCTTTTTCCTGTTTCACTGATAACAGGGCCTAGAAGAGCAAATTACAGAAGCCCTTTGTCATTTACACGTTTAGCATTTGTGGCTTTAAATGTATCAGAGATCCTGAATGGGAGAATGACATGCAATCAGTTTGAGCCATGAATCTCTCAGGCTGACTGGGGGGCAGGTGGGAGAGTTACTTGCTGGTGAGTGTCAGCAACCAATCACTGGTCACACTCTGGTCCCCAAGTGGCCTCAGCTTCTTAGGGCTTGATTCTTCTCTGAATAATCCCTTCTTTCCACTGAAATTTTGTTTTACTGGTTTTCAACAAGAGAAAAATAGACTACAATAGAATTCATGGATTTTCAAAGGTCACAGGATAAAGGGCTTTATAATGTTGAGGTCTCTAGCACAACAAGCCCAAAGAAGTAGATTAATTCACAGTATATATTAATCTACATATTTCGAGGTCTTCACGGCACTATTCTTTTTCTATACAAATAGAAGTTTGAATCCAAAGGGCTAAAACTGGCGTTATCACTTAAAAGGCAAGGTTTCATCCCTCTCCTTAATCCGGACCCCGACAACCTCTACAGGTTCAGCTTCAGCTCCTCATGGCTGTCAGTTTTTGCCACAGCAAGAAGGAACTGCTAGCAATTTCTCTCACACAATGCTATTTGTTTTCTTTGGCTTTTGCTTAGGCTGGTACAGTCTCAAATCTTGGTTTAGATAGGAGACTTCCTGAGAAATCTATTCCAGTTCTCAACCAAATCCCTCCTGCCTGTTCCACTCTTCTGTGTGTCTGTAACACCACAAATACATCCCAATCTGCTATAATTGTCTTCTCTGCTTCAGCCCCCAGCCTCAGACAATGAAATCCTTGAAGACAATAACCATATTTTACTAATTTTTGAATCCTTGGTATCAAGACAGAGAGCCAATGTCCTATAAGACACCCAGTATATGAATGGAAGGTGAATGACTGCAGATTATTATCTTTATCACAAATGTGAAATAAAACTAAAATCCTGGGATGGGAGAAGAACTGACTGAACGATACAGGCAGACAAGTGAGTTGACCAAAATGGGAAGTGGCTTGCTCTAAAAAAGTTTCATCGAAATATTTTCGAAGAATAAATGTCCTATGATGTAATTGGAAACTCGCCTCTTAACTATATCCGAGAAGGAACCACATTTGGTTGCTATTTTTGTTTAATTTTTGTAAAGTACTTAGAAGTGAATATGTCTGGGGCCAAATAATTCAGGGATGCTTAGGCAAGGCCACCCCTCTGCATACAGGGTCACACCCACAGAGCATTCCTGGATTTCTTGTGGAGACAGTGGGACATAATCACACCAAACAGATGGAGACTTGAGAAATTCTAAGACAAATTCTGTAGATTAGAGACACTTCTCTAAAAATGCACACCTCAAGCTTGAGCATCCTGCTGTCCAGCACACTTTTGTCGGATATTGGGTGGCAGTAAGAGTCCAGCATGTGAACCGCATCTGTCATCCAGTCTTGTAGCTCTTTAATCCCGAGGGAGAACTGATTGTGTTCTGCGACAATTCTATCCAATCTTGACACTTTCTCCTGGAAATGACAGAAATCGTTTTCCAGCGGTCCATTCCACCTTACAACCTACAGACACTCAAACTGTAAAGCTAACCATTGGTTTCAAGTAGTTGCAATCAGCCATGGGTCCATATGCTGCACAAATATGACGCAAGTCTGTATTAACCTGAGATGCGGGAAATACCTTTGTGACCGGAATAACTGGGCCAAAAGCAGAACAATTATAATTGACTGCCCTCACTTTAGTCACTACTCTTCTTCATGACAACTGTGACGTTTTTCCAGAATCGGCAAAATCTCTTCCTAACGCCTTGTGTGGGAGACGAATCACGGTACTTTCTAGCTTTCCCATACCACATTTGGCTCAACTATCTGAGATTTTGTAATAGCTCTACATTTCAAAAATTGGGACCATGGATATGATTTTAGTTATTAACTAAAGGTTATATCCAACACAGTGAAGATTTTGACTATGTTTACAGCTCCTTTTTTTATGGTTATAGCTCTTAAAGCATTCAAGTATCTATTGATTTTTGCTATCTAAATAAATGCAAAGGAATATAAAGATGCCCTTAATTCATTCTAATTTCAGATATATGCCAGATTTTCTAAAGACAAAAAAGTAACTTATTTATAGAAAAAATGGGTGTAAGCATAGACTATTTACAACAAGACCCCTACTAGTTATAACTGTGTCAGTGATGCTTTATTGAGGACCCAAATGAGCAGACCAGAAATAAGTCCACACTAAAATAGATGAAGCCATATTACAGTAGGTTCCCTACACTCTAAGATCTGAAATGCAAAAGAGAAAATACAGGGAACAAATGTTAAAGCCACAAAAAGCTCAAGGCAGACCTGAGCTCACAAAGTTCGAGACGGGCCTGCATGACACCTGCTGAATGCTCTATATTAGGTCATAGCGGTATCCCATTTACATTAAACTGTTAGAAAACGTATTTAATCAGTTATACAGATCATTGCCAATTTTGAGCTCTGCTCTAGAATCCGAAATGAAACTCTCCACCAACACGTCCTTGAGAACCATTAATAACATAAAGAATTCAGACGAATTAAAAAAAAAAAAAAATGATCCAAACTCCTTATAATGTAATCTACTAAAATTTAAACTGCTTTGAATTCCTGTTTTTCTGACATAATTTAACCTAAGATTGTTTAGGCCCCAAACTCTGAATTTTGCCTTATGTTTCCACTTTGAGTCTTCAAGATAAAAGCTCTGGGAAACATACCATTTCAGTGTTGAGGAGACGATCTTGTGCAGTAATAGAGCTTGGAAAATCTCTTCAATCTCTGAAGCCTCCCTAGCTCTCGTCAATCACACGAAGATCTACTGCACGAATGCATGACTTGAATTGGGAGGCTGGGAAAGACACTCACACGCCTTATCCCTGACCCAGCGGACACCCTGCACAGACGGGTGGCCCCGGTACCACACGCACACACAGCACATGGCAGGCGTTACCTTTGTTAGATTGCTTAGAGCTAGATACTGAGAAGACAGCTGCGACACTCTGTGCATAAAGCTCTTGCTGGCAGCTTGTCCTTCCCACAGCTGCTGAGCTTTCTCTCTTAGCCTGTTGAGCTGAGGCTCGTAGCAGTTTATTTCCTCAAGGACAGACTGAAAAGCACAAGCAAGTTACTATTAAGAGGCTGGGGGAGAGCACACCGCGGACGGAGCTTTGGCCCAAAGAACGTGGAAATAAACATGGCGTGCAATTGGTGCGCCCTGAAAGCTTAACAATTTCCAGGCTACACACGGGACAGACTACAGGACGGAAACAGATCACACCTCCGAGGAAAGCCAGAAAACATAAAATCCGCCAGAAATAGGGCAAGGGTACGCTGCATCTCCAGACAGCATGACCTAATTCCAGGGTGCGTCTGAATGCAAGGTTGTGCAGAGGACAGGGGTAAAGACGTGGCCAGAAGGGCACATGGTCTCATTACCTGGAGCTTCTGCTGTTCCCTCCTCTTTGCTGGCAGATCGTACAGGCGATTGCTGCTTTCTTGCACCAACTTCTCAGTTTTACTCAGCCAGTCCTGGACAGGCTCAGCGCTCACTTCAAAGTCCTTCATTTGGATCTTTAGATTCTACCAGATTTTAGATCACATTAGGGATTAAAAAAAAAAAAAAAAAAAAAAAAAAAAAAAAAATGAATAGCAAGTCCAAAGTCTTACTTAGCACTTAGCATTCAAGGCCCAACACAGTCTGGCCCCCTAGTCCTTCTTCCCTCCTACCCCGGTCCTGATGTACAGAACATTCTATCTTTCACCTTAGCATCTGTATAAATGTTGAACATCTTTTTAGAGTTTTTTAGTCTCAAATTTTTCAAAAAGGAGTTTTTGTGTCATTATCCAATCTACCTCAGAGCTCATACCCACTTCTCAACTTCTATCACATTTGTTGCTTATGCCAGTCAATACGTACTTAATGGATTGTCATGCAGGCATGCCTTGTCTCCACAACCAGCTTACAAGCTCTGTGAAGGGAGGGCCTCATAGAAATATAAGTAAATATTAACAAATATTTTGTCGAGTTTGATCAATGATGGGATAAGAAATAGCATATGGTTTCAGGTGCCTGAGGGGCTCAGTCGGTTAGGTGTCCAACTTCGGTTCAGGTCACGATCTCACAGTTCGTGAGTCTGAGCCCCACATCGGGCTCCGTGCTGCCAGCTCAGAGCCTGGACCCTGTTTAAGGTTCTGTGTCTCCCTCCCTCTCTGCCCCTCCCCCACTTGTGCTCACTCTCTCTCCCAAAAACAAGGAAATGAACATTTAAAAATAAATAAATGTTCCTTCTGCCTGTGTTTTCCATTATTTCTTCTATGGTTTCAATGACCACCTACAAACTCCTAAAACCCCCTATTTATAGAACTGTATTTATGCAACACTTTAGGTCAGAGTGCCTGGGTTTGAATCTCGTCACCTCCTCGCAGTGAGAACCTGGCAGATTATTTAATCACCTTTTGCCATAATTTCCTCATCCACACAATAGAAATAAGCGAGTTCCTACTTCAGATAACGGTTATGAGGATTAAATGCACTGACACATGTGAAGTGTTTACCTAGTGCCTGCACTGGTAAATGATCACTATCATTCCTATCACAGCTCCATCCTCTCTGTTAGGACTTGGTATTCATATTTGCTGCTACTTTCTTGGCATTACCTGCTGAATATTTCACAGGCCTATTTAACTTAATTTTTGCTATCCCCTCCAGAACTACTTTTTCTACCATTTTCATGTCTCAGATAATAGCATCGCCATTCATACCATCTTCCAAACTAGAAATTAGACTCAAACTTAACTTACCCTTCTTCGCCATGTTCCCTCATTGAATTCGCTACCAAATCCTGTTGTGTTTTACCTTAAATATAAATTCTCTGTCCGTTCTCATTTCCTTAATTCAGACCCTCAGCTCTCTCATCTTGACCATTATGAGAAGCTTTCCCTGGTCTTCCAGCTTCCCCACTCTTGTCTACACTGTGGTCAGAGTTGACATGTTTATTTCCAGCTTAAAGACCAGCAGGTTCCTCATTCAACCTTTTCAGCTAGGATTTTTAGAAAGAATTAAGCCCTAGTGTCCTAAAGAATCCATTCTATGTAATTATGTAATTACTATGTAATTTTCTTATGCATCTAAAATGGTATGGGTTATGTTACATCCTTGGGAAAACAGAGAACATAAATGCTCTTCAGGGGTTCAGATAAAAACCCTGGTTAAGAGTCAAGATCAAATTGCTTAGTACAGGGGCGCCTGGGTGGCGCAGTCGGTTAAGCGTCCGACTTCAGCCAGGTCACGATCTCGCGGTCAGTGAGTTCGAGCCCCGCGTCGGGCTCTGGGCTGATGGCTCGGAGCCTGGAGCCTGTTTCTGATTCTGTGTCTCCCTCTCTCTCTGCCCCTCCCCCGTTCATGCTCTGTCTCTCTCTGTCCCAAAAATAAATAAAAACGTTGAAAAAAAATTAAAAAAAAAATTGCTTAGTACACAAGACACTTCCTATCTTGCCCTAATCCTCATCTCCAATCTTATCTTTGTTGTTCCTCACAAAACCCCATGTGGATGTCAAACTTCCCAAAGTCCTCCCCTGCTGACACTCACAACACGCTGGCCCTGTACATCCAGTTCCTTCTACCTGAAATGCACATCAGCCTTGGCAAATTCAAAGAATGTCTTGCCTTCAGGGTTCAGTTAAAATGTCACCTTTCTGGTTTCTTGATTTCTCCAAGTGGAGTTAGTTGCATCCTTCTTTGAGTGACGGCCATATCCTGAATGTATCTATGTTATATTGCAATCATCTCTTTACATATTGTTTCTCTCTCTAGAAAGTAAACTCCCTGAGCAGAGGGAAAAGACTAGCCCTTTTGTATTCCTAAAATAGTGGCTGGTATATATTGTTTCTATTGTATTCCTAATATAAATGAAGGAAACAGGGAAGGAAGTAAGGAAGAAAGGAAGGTAGAAAGGTAGGGAGGGAGAAAAAAGGGAAGGAAGATAAGGAAGCCAAAAGAGCTTATTCCTCACCTACTCATCTCCTCCTGGCTGAGCAGCTCTTGAACTAGGCAATCATGTAATCAAGGCTAGATGTACTACCTTCAACAATAGACGCTTCAGAGCTCAGGCCACATTGCACTAATGATCTCTGTAAGGTTATGAGTAAATTTCTAGGCACTGCACAATGGTTATCCCTCTCTATAAAATGGAAGATACCTGCTGTGAAGGAATAGCCACCATCAGAAAGAAGAATTATAGAGGCGCCTGGGTGGCTCAGTTGGTTGAGTGTTTGACTTCGGCTCAGGCCGTGGTATCATGGTCCTGAGTTTGAGCTCTTGCTGTCATCGTAGAGCTCCCTTCAGATCCTCTGTCCCCCCACCTCCCCCTCTCCCCAGCCCATGCACGTGTGCATGCACACACTTTCTCTCTCTCTCAAAAATAAATACACATTAAAAAAAAACTATATTAAAAAAAAAACAAAGAAGAATTACAATAGTGTCGGGCTAGGGAATAACTGAGGGAACACACTTTTTCTCTTTCCCAATATTCTCTATTATTATTTTTTCCCACCCTGCATTAATTATGATCAAATCAAATAAAGGTTCTCTTCTGTCAGGAAGTATTGGTTTAAAGGGAAAAAATCACTCTCCATGCCTCTGAATTTTCCTCTAAGAGTTGGTATACAAAACAGGCGATCTCACAAGAAAAAAAATCAATTGCATTGTGGCAGTAATTGTGTTATGATTCTAATAAATTCAACTCACGTTGTTTCTGAATAAAAGAAAATTGCATAACCATTGGATCTTTGCACACAACTCCTAAAAACCTCCTACTTGATACCCACATTAGTTATAATATACCTTACCATCCATAGCCTTTTGTAGTCTTACATGGGTATTTCTGTTCATTCTCCTTGAACAACTTCCAAACTTGAGGGATTTCACATGAATGATTAAGTGATATTGTTTAAAAGTAAAAACCAACAGTTCCTGGTGGGACAGTGTAAGCCTACAACAGCCCCTACCAGGCAAGGAGCTATTGAATTCCTTGGTGAGGCTCCCACTTCTAAAACTGAGCTGTTTCCTACAGTTATCTGGTTATCTATTAATATTCAGAGAGGAATGACCAAAAATCATTGGCACTGTATTTGGATATAATGAAGGTGTGGTTTTAACTGACAATGACTACAACGACAAACTACAGAGAAGCCATCCATGTGGTCGGCTATTATACCTCTAGTGCAGATTCCTTCTGGTGCAGATTTGAATGAAATTTTTTCCAATCTTCTTTTGCAGTGGCAACTTTGGCCTGGATTCCATCCGCTTTCTCTTTGGGCAACAGAGTACTCAAAAGTTCTCCTTTAGACACCATCACGTTTAGCTTGTGCTGTCCATTTTCACTTTCTGACAAAAATTCCTACCAAGAAAAATGCTAAGATTAGGCCTAATGCAATGCTCTGTGCTTTAAAATACATGGACTTTCCACGTATTTCTCGATAAAAGCACAGAGATGAAATAAACCATTTTTATTGCATATATTAAATTACTAGGACCTCTATGCATTTGGAATAATGTGCCCTCTCTACACACTGGGAATAATACTCTCATGTACTTCATATGGTTCCTGTGAAAATTAAGTGAGAAAAATCTTAGCATGCTCAGGAACAATGCTTGTCACATATGAAGAACTTTTACTAGTGGCTACATCTCTATTCATATGTAAATATAGGATGCATTTGGGTGAATGAACTAGTTTCTCTTTACACAGACAATGAAGTGTTTCAAGCAAGGGTGTATATGAAATTTGAGTTTCCTGAACACAATTCTTAATGGGCTTATAAAAAGATCTAGAGGCACCTCATTAAGCCGCTTAAGCACAGTGATTAGCATTGATACTTGGCACTCTTACCTGTATTTTCTGAAGACTGGTTGAAACTTCACTAATATTTTGAGGTATATCAAAACATTTGGCAGTAGTGATTTTTGCATTAACCAGCCACTGCTGGAAGTCTTTGAAGGCTCTTTGAAACCGTTGCTGTAAAATCTGTTCTCTAGTCTGACAGCCCTTGGATGCTTGCAAACAAAGGCTAAAACCATGATTTGAAATGTTTAAAGAGAGGGAAAAAAAAATGATACAAATGGATTAAAATAAAGTTTGGTAGAATCAGCAATTCTTAGAATAGGCAGTCAAATTTAGTAATGTAGTTAATGATTAATTTATCATGCCTTAAACAAACTCTGACTACTTTGTATAAAAATATTTTGACTACAATAAGGTCCATGCTCACCAATTATATTCTTTTATCAAGCCAGAAACTTTTCCACTGTATGTACTCAGGTCTCTGGAAAATCGACAAAGTTCATTCAACTGAGACTTAAGATCCTCTGTTTTAGGCTCTGCTTTTTGTAGGGCATCCAGTATCTCCTATTAGAAAATAACAAGACAGAGAAGCAAGCACTTAAATTGGGTAGTTTACACATCCTCACACTATACGTGCGTAAGTCATATTATAAATTATTATGAGGGAAGAATCAACATAAAGATTCAGTAAAGAAATACATTCTATTTTCTAGATTCCTTGTGCCAGGCAGAGCACTTGGCTTATTTCCATCCTTCTCTAGGCATGGATAGGCATTCCAGCATCAAATGTTGCCAAGTAATCAAATGATCAAGTTGTCAAATAATTCAAAGTGGGACAAGAAAAAGAAAAGAGGAAATAACCTCAATTGCTTCGTAACAGTCTGACTATGCCATTGGAGACATGTATATTGTTTAAAGGTAAAGAGAAATCATTTCTCTTCTTAAAAATGTTTATTTATTTTGAGAAAGAGAGAGGGCACGTGCACAGGGAAGGGGCAGAGAGAGAGAAGGAGAGAGAGAATCCCAAGCAGGCTCCACGCTGACGGCATGGAGCCCGACATGGGGCTCAGTCTCATGAACTGTGAGATCATGACCTGAGCCGAAATGAAGAGCGTCCCAAGCCACTCAGGTGTCCCAAGAGAAATCATTTCAAAGCAAAGAAATACTTATTTTGGATTAAAAAATATATGTAATAATTGATTTTATGTAATATGTACAGTTAACTTTCACATTAAAAATGTCTTCTACCCCACCTATCCGATTTACCTAGTAATTCATTCATTTCATATTCAGTCATCAAATATTTGATAAATGCCTGCTATGTGACAATCAATTTTCTGGATTTTAGGACCCCCAAAATGACTGAAGAGATGATTCTTGTACTTGAAGAGCTCACAATTTAACAGATGAGAGAGGCATCTGAATAATCACAGTACTGTGACTCTCTAACCCAAAATAAAGTCTTGAGACTTGACAAGTACATCTCTAAAACCAAGGCCATGATCCCTGGAGTTACACAGGGGCTCTTATGGGTTTGCCACAAGGAGCAAATGAGATCACAAGTGTCAGGCACTTAGCACAATTCCTGGCACACTGATGAATGCCTAACCTGTAAATGATGCCCAAATATTTATTTATTTATTTTTTTTATTTTTTTTTTTCAACGTTTATTTATTTTTGGGACAGAGAGAGACAGAGCATGAACGGGGGAGGGGCAGAGAGAGAGGGAGACACAGAATCAGAAACAGGCTCCAGGCTCTGAGCCATCAGCCCAGAGCCTGACGCAGGGCTCGAACTCACGGACCGCGAGATCGTGACCTGGCTGAAGTCGGATGCTTAACCGACTGCGCCACCCAGGCGCCCCTGATGCCCAAATATTTAAATGGGACCATATAAATAATGGTATTGCCACAGTAAAAAAAAAAAAAAAAAATTGGGGCATCTGGGTGGCTCAGTCAGTTGAGCGCCTGACTTCATCTCAGGTTATGACCTCACAGTTAATGAGTTCAAGCCCCGCATCAGGCTCTGTGCTGACAGCTCAGAGCCTGGAACCTGCTTTGGATTCTGTGTCTCCCCCTCTCTCTGCTCCTCCCCTGCTCACACTCTGTCTCTCTTTCTCGCTCAAAAATAAGTGAAACATAAAAAATAAAATAAAATAAAAAGACTTAAAAAAATAATTCATTAAGGGGGAAGGAGGAGTGCCAAGAAGATGAGTAACTACTCAGATAGCTGTTGGTGTTACTGTCAGTATTCTCAGATATTTATCGAGACATGGCCTAGATTTGTCAGAAAACCACACCTCTCAACAACCCAAGTCTGTGTTTCATTCCTCATCTTAGTAAATGGCCCCGCCTTCCTCCCGCTGATCTAAATCAGAAAACTAAGCTACATCTTGGCCCTGCCAGGAGACAGGAGACAACCAAGTCCAGTCTATGTGTCTTAACTCTCTTTCAGTTACTTCTTTCTCTCTGTATCTGACTCAGTCTCCATTACACATCCTTCATTTCTTTCTGGCATGGCATAATGTCCTCTCGATTTGAATCCTGTTCTCCAGTTTTCTCTCCTGTGTTTTCTTGTCCCTCACTAATTTTGGGTCCTCTGACTGTTTCTCCATGTCACCTGTAACAAACCTCAAGACTCAGCTCAAATGACAACTACACTAAGGACTCTCTGCCCTCCTTCCCACCTACTGGTAGGGACTTCTCACTTGAAGACACACAACACCTTGTCAGCTCATCACAATCGAGCATTCCATTGGCTTTGAACCCATTGGCCTTTCCACTTAGACTGTGATTCTGAGAGGAGGGATGGTGTTCTCTTGGTTTTAAAATTATTTATTTATCTTAGCGTCTGGGCCAGAGGAGTCTACCATACTCTTATTTACAAGATTTATGATACCTAGAAAGTTTCTCTCTGAAACTCCAAAGCTATACTAGTAACTGCTATTTTACACCATATTGTATCCCTTATTTAAGGGAGAACTTAGTAGTAACTATAGAAACTTACCACATACCAAAAATGCAAAAAAAAAAAAAAAAAAAAAAAAAAAAAAAAAAAAAAAAAAAAGAAAGAAAGAAAGAAAAATAGAGATTCGAATTAGTTACTTATAAAGTAGTTGATATCAAAAGTGAAAAGCTTTGGCCAAAATTTTATACTGAACAAATTCCCATAACTTCATCACAGATTAAAGCATCTTAGTAGAGTCCTTCATTATATAAACATCAGGTTATATATTTCTGTTTCAATTAAGTCCTGGAATGCATTTTTTCCTTAGAAGTTATGGAAGTTAAGAAATTTGCTAAATTTCAAACATGAATAACCCAATGGATATTAAGAAATATGAATTCGCAAAGAGCAAATAAGCTTTTTGCAACATGATTGTACATAATTTATAGATGATGATCCATTTTTATATTTTAAAATATTTCTTGGGTATCATCACTTAATTGCAAAAGAGAAAGTAAATACTTATGAAGGTCTGTGATTATTATTGTGATTGTCAACATTATGATTGTCAACAATTATTATTATTATTATGATTGCTCCCTGAAAGCAAAACAATGTTGTTAAGAATCCTAACTAATGCATGATTTTGTAACATTTTCCTATGTATGCATTGTAATAGAAGTATTATCTCCATTTAAAAATTACTTTTTCATTTTTTACCATCACTACTGAGATATAATTAACATATAACATATATAACATTGTCACAAATTTAACGTGTACAACGTGCCGATTTGATACATTTATATATTGTAAAATGATTGCTCCCCTAGGAGTAGCTAACACTTCTATCCCATTGCATAATTACCATTTCTTCTTTATACTAGTAATAAAGATAAGAGAAAACCTGAGCCTGGAGAGGTAACATACTATTGTCATCAAAAGCATGAGCCGTGGAGCCAAACCTAGAAGTAGTAAGCAGAGGGCTGTCCTCGTTGAATTGTTAGTAAAACTGAAAACCCACATTTACTTTTGCATTATCACGTGGATTTTCTATAGGCCTCACTTCTGTTCACTAATAGTGTCAATGTAAAAAACGACAGCTCAGAAGAGTAGTATAATTTAAGTACCACCAAAACTTTCTTTTTAAAAATTTCACTCATATTAATGGTAGGGAAGGGAAGAGAAACAGAAGAGAATGAAAATATTATAACTGATTTCTTTTATAACAGAGTGAATAATACTGACTACCTGGAACGATTATTACCAACTTGTCTCTGTTTTACAGAATTGCTTTCTATATTCTGGTGCTCATATCTAAAGGACAGCACAGGCATCAGGAAAAAAGCAACCAGAAGCTAGAAACATTATAAATAAAATATCATAAAGAGATAAGAATAAAGTTTTATTTTGTCGTGTGCTACGTTTGTCTGAAATACTTGATTTAGAACAAGACAATGTTGGAAATACTACATGACTTTCTTACCGGCGGAAGCTATTTTGAAATGATTATAACATAAATAGAAACAGAGAAGTTAACTTCACTGAAACTTCCTTTTAAGGATATCCATGGTTCCGAGCATTACAAAACTACAAATATCAACAGTCTTTTGAGATACCATTTAAGAGTAAAAGAAAGGGTTTCAAGCTTCTGCTCTGTCTTTACTATCCCTTTTAGGCTCTGTGACATTCATGTTCTGAAAGAGCTGCCATTCGTGACAAAAGCAAAAAAAAAAAGACCTGGGAGACAACCCAGCGAGCATGACACAGGAGTTATGTTGACGGGTTAATTCAAGCCCAGCTGTCAAAACCACCCCGAGGAGAGCTAATCAGGGTGCAAACTAATAGTTGTGCTTTAGGAGATTACCGAATGCTTCCTTTAAGCTATAGCTTCAATCGTTTAATTGTTGGGAATAATTCACTGGCAGAACACCAGCCATGACTCTCCGTCTATTTATGCCTCTACCCACAGGCTAGTTTTCAGGCTGAATGGCTGAACACAATATTACAAACTCTTACACCATAAGAATGAAAGTAAAATGTCTGCACTGACTGTGGACATTTCCTATAATAACTAATAACTCCTTCTCTCCTATATCTGTAGTTTTACAAGCCTGACTTCTGAGAGAAGGAAACCGAGCAGATCTGTGAAGATAGTTGGGTAAATACTTCTCCAAGTCTGAATGTGGCATGTTTTTAGTTAGCTAGCATTGCTTTCTGGCCACAAGGAGAACCAAACAAAAGTGTTAGCACAACCACCAGGAGAAAACAGGAAGCCAACTTACTTGTCCTTTCCGCCAGCATTCCACTATCTCCTTGTCTGTGTTCTTGCTCTCCAGGAGAGCTAGCTGCTGAGCGCAGGTTGTCAGGAGGGCACCGAACTGTTCCAGGGCCTGCTCCAGCTGAACCACCTGGCCGGAGAACTCCTGCTCCGAAAGGGCCATCTGGCTCACCAGGTTCTCCAAGCTGGTCCGCGTCTGGAGGACGCTATCTTCCCACTGCTTCCAGTCGGCACGCAGGGCCTGCATCTCCGCATCCACGAGCTCACACCCACTGGCACTTGTGTTCTGTCTCACTGCGGGAGCCAGCGACTCCACTCTGCTTAGGCGGCTTGCCCCAATCCCTCTGGAATCCATCAGCTCCTGTAATGGAACATCGCCGTGGCAACCGAGGAGGCTGTGAGTCACTCGGGCCGCGAGTTTACAAGCGTGTACAGAGCGGGGACCGGAATCAATTCATCCGCCCACCCCTAAGTTGGGAGAGCAGAGAGTTATCCTCGTGAGCGCTGAGGTTTCAGGCAAAAGAAGCCAGGGAATGCGCAGCATCCTGGAACAGACTGAACAGGGCCCCTGAAATCAGGCCTTGTTTGAATATGTGAAATTGTCTTGACACAAAGGGATATAAACTTTCGCCTGTGGTGTGTTTCTCCAATAAATGTGTAAATGTGCTCTTTCTCCTTAAGGTGACAGACGAGTGAGCAGGGACTGGCACAGAGCAGCAGCCCTGCTCCGCTCGCGGTCTGTCCCCCGTTTCCATCCCCTTCTGGTAAGATAGCGGCTTAGGTCAGTTCTGTGCCACCAGGACTCAACGCTAAGCCGACACAACCACAGAATGAGCCCTCCTCAACGTCAAATACCGCGGTACCTTAAATAAACATTTTCATAGTACCTACAACGAATATTTCACAGACATGCGTAGCCAAAAGTGCAAAGTAACTTTTAGACTGGGTTCATTTATTGCTATCATTTTTACCTTTAAGAAACTCACCAGAAGTTTAACAACGTAGGTATAACTTTTAGGCTGAAAGTACACAAATACTCTAAAGGACAAGATAAATTAAAATGTGTGTTACAGGGGCGCCTGGGTGGCGCAGTCGGTTAAGCGTCCGACTTCAGCCAGGTCACGATCTCGCGGTCCGGGAGTTCGAGCCCCGTGTCAGGCTCTGGGCTGATGGCTCAGAGCCTGGAGCCTGTTTCCGATTCTGTGTCTCCCTCTCTCTCTGCCCCTCCCCCGTTCATGCTCTGTCTCTCTCTGTCCCAAAAATAAATAAATGTTGAAAAATAAAAAAATAAATAAAATGTGTGTTACAAATTAGGTAAAATAGCGGCATTTCTGAGAATAGAGTCTTAAAATCTCTCACTTAATTCATCATCTGGTGGGTTTTTTTTTTTAATTTTTTGTGTTTGTTTATTTTTGAGAGAGAGAGAGGAGACAGAGAATCTGAAGCAGGCTCCGTGTTGTCAGCACAAAGCCTGACATGCGGCTTGAACCCACAAACCGTGAGATCACGACCTGAGCCAAAGCCAGACACTCAACTGGCTGAGCCACACAGGCGCCCTCATCATCTGCTGTTTATACATTTATATATCCGTTGCTAAAGTTTTTGTTAGTATTAATACAAAATTATGACTTCTGTTCTGGCTTAAATCGAAGGAAAAGATGATTATTAGGGAAAAAACTTCAAGAGGAAAATCAATTACAAATTAATAAGCGTAGAAAAATAGCAGTGTTAAGTATGAAGCATGCTTAATAGGTTATGGTAAATACAAACTGTCTTAACGAACCTATATAATTCAGTTCATATTTCATTAGATTCGCTTAAAATAAATATACCTTCTTGCACTTATATACAAGAGCCAAATTTTAGTATAGGTAATTTAAAAGTGTCTAGTTATATCGTAGTCCAAAGGGCAATCACATGAATCCTTACACAGTTAGCATTTAATATACATGCCCACCCTTTTCTTGGCAGGAGGTTTCTAAAAGTCTTCCTGGTTTATCAGTGCATGTACTAAGTAGTGACTTGGGGAAAAAATACTATAGCTTTGAAAAAAGAGCTATGTCTAATTATTAGATTTAAATACTTAATAATTTGCCTTTATGGGTGATTTCAAATTTGGAGTTCAAACGGTACCAGTAGTCAAAAATCAGTTTTCCCCAAAACATTCTGTAATGCATTATCTCAGTTTTCCTAGGCAAGAAAATGGGACATTTCAATATTTGCAACCCTAATTCCACCCATCCGGATTTTGAACAAGAATGTCATCACTTTAAAGTGTTTTGAAATGACTTGTATATGTATTTCCTTGTCTTGGGTTTAACTATTTAAAAATGTCATAAAGGGGCGCCTGGGTGGCGCAGTCGGTTAAGCGTCCGACTTCAGCCAGGTCACGATCTCGCCGTCCGGGAGTTCGAGCCCCGCGTCGGGCTCTGGGCTGATGGCTCAGAGCCTGGAGCCTGTTTCCGATTCTGTGTCTCCCTCTCTCTCTGTCCCTCCCCCGTTCATGCTCTGTCTCTCTCTGTCCCAAAAATAAATAAACGTGGAAAAAAAAAAATTTATAAAAATGTCATATGCACATATACCCCTTATACACACATATTTGGCTTTGAGGTTGTCCCTTCTTGGCGGTTACTCTTGGGGGTGGGAGGAGATGATGCTGAAGGTCAGAGGAGGTGCTCATTTCCTCCAAGGTCCTTCCCCGCCCACCCACACACCAGCCTCCAGTCTGGACTGACCTGGACCTCAGAGTGTCACCCTCTGCCAGGTTTCACTTTCTCCTTCCCAAATTCCAATTTCCTCCTGCCAGCTCCTTCTCCTACATTTCCCATATGTTTGGAAGAGCATAAAGTCTAGACCATCACTCTAGACTTTTCCCCCACTTTCATTCTCTAGCCAATTAAAGGCCTCGTTGACCAAATCTGTTGAATTTTCTTATTGAGTGTATGCCATGTGCATGGTCTATGTGCATGATCTAATTAAGTCCTCAAAACCACTAGGTGATCGAGGTACTATTGTTATTAATTTACCATTAAGACGTTGAAGCTTGAGGACAGACATCAAGTGATTTGCCCAACACAGCTAGAAAATCAATAGAGGCAGAATGCAGCCTTGGCATCTGATTCCAGAGCCTAAGCTAGAAGTGGAGTGAACTCACATTACATCTGGTGTACTATTTTATAACCATCAGTTTATGCATCATTGTTCCCTACTACACTGCAGGTTTCTTGAGGGAATGTACAACCTTGGTTGAATAAATGGATGAATAAATTAAAATATTAGTGAGAAATGTATCAAAGAAGCATTTTAAAGAATCACACAGATTATAAGAATTTCAAAAGGTGCTTTGTGTGATTATCTCCTTTTAAACCTACATGGTCACTGTAAGATTTAAATCATACTTTCTAAGCACTTAAAAATAAATTCTCAGGGCGCCTGGGTGGCTCAGTTTGTTAAGCGTCCGACTTCGGCTCAGGTCATGATCTCTCAGTTTGTGAGTTTGAGCCCCACATCAGGCTCTGTGCTGACAGCTCAGAGCCTGGAGCCTGCTTCAGATTCTGTGTCTCCCCCTCTTGCTGCTCCTCCCCTGCTTGTGCTCTCTCTCTCTCTCTTTCTCAAAAATAAAAAATACACATTAAAAATAAATGAATAAATAAATAAATAAATAAATTGTCAAAATGTAGTTATTATTGTTGTCATCAACTATTATTTTTAGGACTTTTATATTCTGATGTTCAGGGATCAGAACACAATGTGAATCTTAAATTCCTACAATAATTACACTATTTATTCCCAACATTTCTTCATCCACAAGTAAACCATTTAGGGTTTCATCATTGCTTAATTTAAAAAAAAAATTAATGTTCATTTATATTTGAGAGACAGAGAGAGACACAGCACGAGTGGGGGAGGGGCAGAGAGAGACAGACATAGAATCCGAAGCAGCCTCCAGGTTCTGAGCTGTCAGCACAGAGCCTGACGTGGGGCTCGAACCCATGAACCATGAGATCATGACCTGAGTTGAAGATGGTTGCCCAACTGACTGAGCCACCCAGCTGCCCCTATCATTGCTTAATTTTTAGATTAAAATCTATTTTTTCCATGGGGGGGCAATTACTGCAATTAAATATTCAAATAACTAGAAATACACTTGTCCAGCTCCCTTGTAAGGGAATAAACTAGGTGAGACTTTTAATGTTCTTTAAAGCACTGCCTTCCATTATGTTGTTGTACCGTTGGCTAGAAAAGCAGATGAAAACATCTAGGATGACATTTCCAAGTTATTATTCAAATTCATTTAACTAAATTATGTTATAAGCTTTTTTATCACTGTGCTAGAAAATAGTATTTGGTTCCATCAGCCCTCCAAGCTGGCTTATATTTCATAGTCTCCCATGAGCAAATTTGCATATGGAAGTATACACAATGTTCCATTTCTGCTCACAAGTGTAAAGTGTCTTGAATTCCTTTTATCCTTTTTGCTTCTGTTTATAATTTGTGAGGTGCAAGGTAATAAACATCAACAAATAGAAAATAGGACACATTTTAACTAACAATCTCACCCATAGAACCTTCATCATAGGGATGGCATACTCAAGAACCAATGAAACAATGAAGTTATAATATCTGTGCGCTTTCTGACCTTAATTTTAGACAATTTCTTCTGGGTGGCTGATGAATCTCCCGACATATCTGACCACCGGTGAAGTTCTTCCTTCGCTGAATGGAGCCAATCCGTGAATTCCTGGACTGCATCTAAATACATGAGATGGTCTTTCACAATCTCTTCCACTTTCCTCATTTTCTCCTAGTGCACAAAGAAAAGGATACTTTAACACTGGGCGTTTTTTGAGAATATGAAGTCAGACAAAAGAACAGGTGTCTTAACGATTTCATTCCTATTATTGAACTTTCTGTTTAATATCTTAGAATGAAGACATCAAATCTTAATTCGACTGAAAGACTTTAAGGAAGCAACCATTTTCCTTTAAATTTACTTTTGGTTAGAACAAAAATCTATGCGGAATGAACATTCACTAACATCCCTCGCTACTAACCCATTTAATAATTATTATAACTATTATTTAGGCAACAATACAGTATATTATTGGTGTGTTATTAGAGTCTTATTACAGTGTAATTACTGTGGACAGTATTCTGCTCAGCACTTTAAATGTATCTGCTCATTTAGTCCGCTCAACATTCCTGTCATACAGATACTCTTATCACTATATTGTAGGAAAGAGCACTTAACAAAGGTCACAGAGGTTAAGTAACATGCCCAAAGTCACACATCCAAAAGAGGGTCAAAGGCAGAGTTCAAATTTAGGTCTTTTTGACCTCAGAGTCATAGAGCTTAACCATTATCAACCATTAGCAAAATAAAAATTAAGATAAACTAACACACATGTTAAAAATTGTAGTGTTAATAATACAAAGAGAATTCCCCACAGGAAAACGAAGAAAGGAAAAAAAAAATCTTTCCCTAATTTTCTTTAACATTGTCACAAACACACAAAAGAAATTCATGGGGGAAAGTAAAGAATCAGAGAGAACTGAAAACAATCTTGATTTTACATAAAGGAGCCTATATCTGGAGAATAAGAATAGGAAAAGGCAGTTTATACTACAATGAGAAATGCACAACATACGTTGTACACGACTGAAATCTAGGAGGCAAACAGACTCGCATTTAATACAACAGATACAAATGGCCAACAACAGAAGAAGAACTGCAAATACTGACATTTGAGGCTCAATCTTAACAAAGAAAACAAATGGACTGACTAATATCCCAAGTGGAGAACGGTGAAAAACAAAGAATAAAAATAATCCCAAGACTGCAGAAAGAGAAGGATTCACGGGGATCCATAGGTGAGTAATGATCTTTATGTAATAACCGTTCACTAAATATACAAATAGTTTTAGGGCAGCCAGATCCCCTATAATTCAACCTGGAGTATATTCTTTACCTGAACCCTTGGAGTTTTTTCTCCAATGTAAAATACTAACCTTGGAAACAGTGATTATATCATTAAACTGTGTTTTCAGTTCCTCTTGAGCTGTTTCCTTGAAAGATTCATCCTCAGTCTTCTGGTAGAGCTCCCTGGATTTCGAGGTGAGACGGTGCAGGGTTCCGGCATGATCTTCTGCCTCGGACATGATGGACTGGAAGTGGTCCAGGAGGGAAAACTTCTCCTTCAGACCTGGCTGTGGTTGTAGGGGATGCTCCACTTTTTGATCTACGAATTCCATCCACTGCTCCAACTGGTTTTTCCACTCTAGATAGTCGTTCCATTTGCTAATCACAGACTCCAAAGTGCTAGAATTAATGTCACACATCACAAAAATAAGTTATCTTGACATGCCTACTGAAAACTTAGTAGGAGGGCATTGCATCCATGTAAGCTGTTTTACTGAAGGCTATTCTGTGATGAAAACACTGCTTCTCTGACCCACAATAGTTTCCTCAAATGAAAAGAGATCTATGTTGAATTTGAAGTAAGATGTTACAGTCATACAGGCATCTAGATTTGTCTTCCGAATGCGAATGGACCTAAGTAAGCAAAGTTATGTATTTTGTTGTTAAAACATCAGTACTGGGGCACCAATTAAATTTTATTTAATATATACCAATTCTTAATTTTCTTGGACCCAGTTTACCTTATTAAAAATCAGTTGATAACTATTTCTTGACTAGAATTCAAAATTTAAGGTATTCTTTCTAAGTACATAATATTATTAGATTGATTTTCATTCAAAAATGGACAGTGCTTAGTGCTCCTGAGTTGAATGTGTAAAGGACAAAAGGGCTTAATATATTTATAAGAAACATAGTCATATAAGTCATATAAGTAATAGTCAAGTAAATAGCTCTCCAGACTGTCAAATAAAAGGCTCTCCAGACTGGCATTTTTTAAAAACAGATTTAAAAAATCTGTTAATGCCATTATTTAGCTTTACAAACTACTCTAAACTCATCTTAGTGACCATTCCAAGCATCCCTTGCATATAAGCCTATGATCCTGGAGTTCTATGGTAGAGTTCTGTGGAGTTCTGTATCCTGGAGTTCTGTGGTAAATGTACTTCCAGCATCCCCTCAAATTGCTCCTTTTGCACCAATAGTAACCTCAACATAGGTACTTTGAAGTGCTATCCTTTCCTTAAAGAATTTTCTAGAAAGTCCAAATCAATCTCATCTCTCCAGAAGCACCCCCAGGCCCTGCCTTATCCTACAAGCCCACAGTGTCTTAGTAACACAACCTGAGTTGGAGCGTTTTAGAATGCATCCCACCCTATCCTCTGAGCACTTAAAGAGCAAAAACTACTTTGTTTCCTTTCGTTATTTTAGCTCATAATTGGAGCACTGCTACTGCTTAATATGTGGTTGTCAAATTTAATTTCTTACTCAAAAAAAGCAGAATCAAGGATTTGAATCTGCTTCTTGTATTTAACATTTTATTCCAACATCCAAAAAACATTCACCCACATTCATATTCCCTTTTATGGAGCCAGCCTATTGCCAAGCACTGGGAGGTTTGGTTCACGCTCCAGCAGTCCTCATTCTAGAATAATAGAACCAGAGGATCTGATTTCTTTCTTTGTGGACCATTATAAGTTATTCCTGAGATTCAAAGTCCTGCTGGCCTTGGGAGTCACCACCTATGCTCTGTATTTAAAGAAAACAAAACAAAACAAACAAAGTCTCTAAAATGTAGTTATAACCATGGTTCACCGTTTGCATTGGTGTGGATAACTGCAGTGTTGTGTTGTGTTATGTTTTGTTTTGTGATGAGCTTTAATCTTTTATTCATCTGTTTCCTTCGCTATTCATTTATTTGTTATTAAGCACACACTTCCCCCGCGACCTAAAAGTATATACAGCTTTCAGAATATGCCTGCTGGAATGTAATTTAGTAGAATTCTGACTGAAGGTCATTGGTCCCACCAGCCAGCCAGATGATCTGCAGATACGAGGAAAAGAAAGGAAGGTGGCACTCTCCACTCATAAATTTAACTGCAACAACACCAGGCGTAACAATCAGTATCTTCTCTGCTTGCTCCTCATCCATTGCTGTCTTCTCTACGGAATCCCAGGTGGGAGGATCCTTGGGTGTGGGAGAACGTCCCCACGCACCGCAGGACATAAGCTCTCCTGGCCTTAGCCACTAAACGCCAGGGATGTGCCCATCACTGGGACAATCTAAAAGCCTACACACATTTCCACAGCCCCATTGTGGGTGACATTACTTCTGATTAAAAAAAAGATAAACACTTAAGCTGAACAGTTGCTAACAAATTAATTCCCTGTATGTTCCTCTAAAAAGGGAAACATTATTAAAGTTATTAAAGACCATACACCCTTGCTTTGATGAATTGAAAGGAGGGATCTTACTGAGCCCACGTTGTGTGCAAGATTCCATGAGAGATATTATGGGAGATGTAAATATTACACACACACACACACACACACACACACACACACACGCACAGAACAAGCAAACAAACAAAATTGTCTTTGTCATTACAGAAACTATAATCTAGGCAAAGAGAAGTATGCATATAACTAGCTAAAATAATATGCTTGGTAACTCTACCACAGGATACTCTCAGCATTGTTCCATCATTTACTAAGCCACGAGGTTTTATTTAGGAAAATAAACACTAAAAATAGGCTCTGTACCTCTGAGCACGGATGGAGGAGCTCATGATATCAGCCCACACATCTTTAAGGTTCTGTAGCTGAGTCTGGATCACCTTTTGACCTTGTTTGTTGCTACTTCTCAAGGCCTGCTCCCCTTTGCCAATGGCCATATTCAACTTAACTTCTCCTTCCCCTTTCAACAGGAGAATGTCCTATGAAGGAACAGTGAATTCCTGTCAGTAGGAATATTAGAACCTTCTCATATTTTGAAAAACAGTTATGTTTCCCATGAGAAACCTTACTCACTTTAAAATGAAAACACAACAAGAAACCCTGGACCCTAGTGCAAAATGATGCTTTATTTAATTTTTTTTCATGTTTATTTATTTTTGAGACAGAGACAGAGCACGAGTAGGGGGAGGGGGCAGAGAGAGAGAGGGAGACACAAAATTGGAAGCAGGCTCCAGACTCTGAGCTGTCAGCACAGAGCCCGACACGGGGCTCAAACTCACGAACCGCAAGATCATGACCTGAGCCAAAGTCGGACGCTCAACCCACTGAGCCACCCAGGCGCCCCAGATATTTAATTATTTAAACATCAGATATCAGGAGTCTTGGAGTCAAGGATTAACTCCAATTTAAATTCTTGGAAAACTCTGGACCACTAACCTAGAAGTGTACATTTACTGAATGTTAGTTTCAAAGTAAAAAGAAATTATTTTAAAAATAAAGACACACTTGTCAGAAACCTAACAGCCCCCTCCCATCACTGCCTGGCTAACTCCCATCTTTCAAGGTCCCCTTCATTTGACTGCAGGCTGGGTTGGTGGACACAGTTGTTTGCTTTGGTCATGGCCCCTGTCTCCATGGGCTACTGCAGGTAACTATTTACAGGTTAGTCTCTCCCACTAGACTGTGAACTGGAAAGGAAGCACGAATCTTTGTCTCCATTTCCCCAATGACTTGCATAGTGCTTGGAGTAGAGTCAGCATCCCATAACATCTGCTGAATACTTACTAAATGAAATCAAAAATTATTTTGAAGCTATTGAAGGGGCAGCGTGATCCCTCCGTATCCCTTTCTCCAATTTCTCTGTTTTGCCCACATGATCTTCACTGAGAGGCTCACGGAACAATTAGGACAATTAGCTCAGATATTTGTGAATCTAAGCATATTGGTCTTTAGAAGTTGTCCGTGTCTGGCAGCTGTTCTCCGCTTACCTGTATTTGTAACAGCCGCTTTTCCAAGGTGTCTTTGCTTCCAACGGTGCTCTCCGCACAGGCCAGTCTGTCTTGAATGTCCTTCACCCAGGACCACATACTCTGCACAGCTTCCTCCAGGGCTTCGTGCTCCTGCAGGGCCAGCTGGCAGTTCCGGAGTTTCTCTTTGGTCGTTCTGAGTAAGTTCTGGTAGTTGGTGAGGAGCTGGGAGCACAGGCGTCCTTCTTTTCCAGCCCCATGACCCTCTTCGCTGAGAAGCTGCCCTCTCTGGGAAAGCTTATCCAGAGACTCTCTAAAAAAAACAGAAAAAAAAAAAAAAAAGTTGAATTCTGACATTCGGGAGTGCAACAGATAGTCAATCCTGGAGAAGTAGCCAGACAAGAGCTCACGGCTAACATGCCTTTAAAAGGAAGATGCTGGGGACCTTCACAGGCTGGCTAGCTGCATCCCTATGATTTTTCTGAATGCACTCAATATACATCCGGGGATTTCAATCCATCTATGCTGTGCATAGATCCCGCCCTATATTTTAAGGAATCCACATCAGAAAATGGCCCAGGACTGCCTTTCCAGCCTCATCTCTAACATTTCTCTGTTCTGACTTCATGCTCTACTCCCGAGTTGTCCCCAGACCCTCTGCTTTTTGGTGCATACACGAGGATTCCTGTTTGTGAAAACCCTTCTACTCTCCTCTGCTTCCTTCCTAGTCGGCCTTTCAAATGCCAGCGCAGGCATCACCTCCACAGGCAGCATCGCACTGACCCCAGGGAGGGAGGAGAGTACAGGGCTCCTCGTCCGTATCCATTCTGTCTCTGTCCCTTTCTATGACCTCATGCACCCTCTCTGCCTCAGTCCTCAGGCTTTCACCCTGCAGAAGCCAGGGTTATTGCATTGATCCCATATCCCCAGGACCCAGTGCAAAAGATAATGTGCAAAAAACCAGTTTCTTTCAAAGGGCCATTATATGAGTGCTGATGGGTTTCCTTGTTGTATCCTGGGTACTTGGCTCATCTCAGTTTGGATTTATGTTAATTATGTCAAGGGAAAGTGTAGTCTTAGTGGGAGGGTTGGCTTTACCTTGTTCTACAGAGTTCTGAATTCTGATCAGTATGTCTATCAAAAATTTTCCAGGATACCAAAAGGGAGAGTGCAGATGTGTGAACACAAACTCTTGTGAGTACTGAGAAAAGAATACAAACTTTATCTCCTACAAGGTCTGTCATTTTTTTTCTGAGCATCCTGTGGCCCTCTGTGATATATGATTTGTACAACATTATATCTACTCTAAATTACATTTCTTATAATCTGGTAAGACAAGAAGTTGGCTTAAGCAACAAAGTGAGTTAAATAATTCAAGACGACGGATATCACTTGTTGCTAAAAGAATTCCTTAATGGATGATAGAAGTTCAATAAATCTCAAATCTGGGGCACTTTGAAAAAAAAAAGGCATCCCCTCCAGATAGTTGAGTGTGATATTATGATGAAAACAATCCAGAGGACGGGGAGGGTCAAGTGGCCAGCAAGGGAGAAGTCAGGTGACCCAGCTGGAGAACCTGGGGGGGGGGGGGGGGGGAAGGGGGAGGCAGACTATATTAGGATTGTCCGAAGAAGTAGCCAGTTACAAAGAGCCTGGGGGCAAACACACTTAAGGATTCTTAGCCTCTGGTCCTGGAACACCAGAGAATACCAGCTCAAGAAGAATATGTAAAGTCATTTTAACAGTTTGGAAGAAAGAGAGAAGTAGGTGTGGCCATGTTACATTGTATCTACAGAGGGGTCAAGATTTAAAAAGTAAATAAAGTGCAGTGTAATTTTCAGAAAGCCATATAGTTAGAATGATACTGTTCTTCTATTAAATCAGCAAATATTTTCTTTTTTTTTTTTCTGGTACTATACCAGCCATTGGGACTATAACAATGATAACGACCTAAAGGTCCCTGACCTTGAGGAACTCACTATTGGGGGTTGGCGCGTATAGATTCAATGAAGAATTTACTCCGTGGTAAGGGCTCCAGAGACCAAAGGGCTCACAGGGACCAAAGCATTCCAGGAAAATTTTATAATAGTCATCAAACTAGCACACCAATAGCAGCTGTCACTATGGGTTATGTCTGTGTATTTGTTTGCATGTTTGTTTTTTAGGCAAGTTTGACCAAAAAGAAGACTCAGCAGAAAGAAGGAATGAATATGATTGGAATTGGACATTTTTTACTGAATTGATCACTGTTGCTGATTTGTCTGATTAAGCAGGCTGGATGTTAGCCTCTGCTGCTTCACAGATGAGTACATCTGCTCATTAAGAGGATAGTTAAGAGGTTTGAGTCAACCATTTGCAACTACGTGGATAGAACTAGAGGGTATTATGCTAAGCGAAATTAGTCAGAGAAAGACAAATATCATATGACTTCACTCGTATGAGGGTTTTAAGGGACAAAACAGATGAACATAAGGGAAGGGAAGTGATAGAAAAACAGGGAGGGGGACAAAACATAAAAGACTCTTAAATATGGAGAACAAACAGAGGGTTGCTGGAGGGGTTGTGGGAGGGGGGGATGGGCTAAATGGGAAAGGGGCGTTAAGGAATCTACTCCTGAAATCACTGTTGCACTATATGCTAACTAATTTGGATGTAAATTAAAAACATAAATTAAATTTTAAAAAAGGAAAAAAAAAAGAACCTTGGGGTCAACCTGCACTCCAAGTACCAACAAAGCAACTTAACATGCCAGGGTGGATGGTGAATTCAGTGAGCAAAGCCCTGAAGCTGGTGAAGTCAAAAGCACAGGCCAGAGAACTTTGCCTGGGAAAGGAGCCAGAAATGTTTGCTCAGCCAAGAGACGACGGAGAGACAAATACCGCAATGGAGAAGAGGAACCTCCAGGACAGTCGGACTTAATGGCCATAGCTTTTGCATTACTAAGAATGTTACGAGGATGGGTACGGATTGGAAATAAAACTGGCTGCTCAAGTATGTGAAGAATGTATGGAAACTGGGGTCTAAAGCATTGTTTTTATAAATGAAAAGTACCCTTTATTATGACCTGCTATCCTTATCATAACCTCTAAAAACAAAGTATGGTACTACTAGCAGCAAAATGCTGAAAGGCAAAATCAAGAAATACAGGAAGTGAGTGGCCTGTCCAATTTATTGAGCAAAGGGAGGTGGACCTGGGATGCAGATAACCCCTCACCTCTATCCCTGTGCTCTCTCCGGAATACCACTTTGCCATAGAGAACACCACACAATCATCTGTATCCTAGACATTTAGGGATAGAAACAGATACAACCACCATCACCAACCAACCAATCGACCAAGCAACCAACCAATGAACAACCAAAGCAAAGAGCCAACCAACCAGAGAAGTAACAGCTTGTTAGTACAGCAAGGACCTATTCCATTTCTGCACCATACCTCACAGCCAATAGTTCTCCCAGAAACATTTCAACTTTATGGACTTCATTCTTCTTCTCGGGAATGTGCTGTTTACTCTCTCCAAAGTTTTCCGTACTTAACCTTTCATCCATTTCGTGGATCCATAAGTTCAGTTTTCTGTGCTGATCCTCAAAGCTACAGAAAAGAAAATACTTTGTAGAAATCCTTCTGTACTCATTATAATAAATAAATTCAAATAGCGGAGGTCACAATGTTGATGGCAATTAAAATCTCATGAATTTTCAAGTATGGAAGAAAACTCAACAACACACCCATCCAAATTATCATTTATTTCAGTAACAAAATGACAAATAGTGGACACATGTCTTGAGATCTAAGCGGAGTCACCCCATCTTGTCAAATTGATTTCCTGGTAATCAGTTGGTAATTATTAGCAAGATTACATTCCTATGTCAATATGCACTTAACTTTGTGTCTTACTACTGGGGACTCCAATGGATTGAGTAGGGCAGTGGAAGCCCTGGGACAAGAAGGGAAAGTTATCTCTGTGTATCTTATGATGATTTAAATATGATCCAAGAGCACAAGGGCTCTAAGTTTTGAAAAGAATGTAGGTTCTCTAAGAAACCTGGCAAGAGTGAAGCAATTTACTCTGTGACTAGAAAGGCGTTTTGATGATACTGACATTATTTTCCCCCTAGGTTTTTTTTCTTCTAATTTTATATTCACCCCTGTTGACATTGCTTCCCGATTGGAATCTTGATTCATAGGAATCTGACAGGTGTTGTGGTTTTTTTTTTTTTTTTTTTTTTTTTTTTTTTTTTTTGCCGTCACTCCAACCCAACAGAGGTGGACACAAAGAAAAGACTTGGATAATCTAAAACCTGGTTGCCAAAGCTAATATTTTGCGTTAACCAAATAGACAAAAAATACATGCATTTATGCATAATTCCTTAATTTTTCTGTATAGAAAATAAAGCCAAACAAAACGATCAGAGTCCAAGCAATTAATTACTGTTCTAGTGTGAACCTGTATTTAAGGTTTCTCAAAGTCTTTGGAAACATATTCTGTGTGTGATGAAATATACACTTATCAAAACAACCTACCTCCCAAGTTCTAAAGCACAGTCTTGAAGAGCCTGCTTGTCTTTAAGACATTGTTTCAGAAATGCTTGAAATTCTTCATTAGCCTTTGTAATTTGCTCCTGAATGCTACTGACAATTTGTTTAGACAAATGTGCATACAAAATTTGTCCTTCTTGAGTCACAGCATCAAGCTTGCTCTGCCCATCACTGATTGAGTCCAAAATGTTCTGTTTCAAGAAATAAAGGTAATACAATATATTTTGCTATTATTCAGAGACCCCGGAGCATGGGAGCAATGACTGCAATTCTTAGTTCAGATAGCAGAGCAAGAGAAGAAAAACAGAGCCCAGAACCCAGAGTCAGAAAGTCTTTAATAAGGCTGGAGTGAGATCTTTATCAGGGAAATATAAATCAAAACCACACTGAGATATCACCTCATGCCAGTCAGAGTGGCTAAAATGAACAAATCAGGAGACTCTAGATGCAGGAGAGGATGTGGAGAAACGGGAACCCTCCTGCATTGTTGGTGGGAATGCAAACTGGTGCAGCCGCTCTGGAAAACAGTGTGGAGGTTCCTCAAAAAATTAAAAATAGATCTACCCTATGACCCAGCAACAGCACTGCTAGGAATTTACCCAAGGGATACAGGAGTGCTGATGCATAGGGGCACTTATACCCCAATGTTTATAGCAGCACTTTCAACAATAGCCAAACTATGGAAAGAGCCTAAATGTCCATCAACTGATGAATGGATAAAGGAATTGTGGTTTATACACACAATGGAATACTACTTGGCAATGAGAAAGAATGAAATATGGCCTTTTGTAGCA